GCAGCAGCAGCAGCAGCAGCGCCGCCTCTCCCTGGCCGGGGCTCTCTTGCCCGAACGTAAGCCCGCACTCCGCCCGGTCCTTTCTCCGCGCTCCAGCCGAACAAACGCAGAGGGCTGTCAAGAGGCAGGGCGCGCTGCCCAAACCAGACAGCCGCCGCGCAGCCTCAGTCGCGCTGCTGAGCACTATGGGACGCGTAGTTCCAGGCTGCTGCCATGGAGACGCTTCTCGAGTGTTGTCCGCCGGGGGTGCGGGGGAGGTGTTCGAGCTCTCGTGTGTTCTGCGCCGGAGGACGGCCCTGGGGAGCTCCTGGGAGGGCGGGGTTCCGCTCTTGCTGGAGCAGGGCACCGGCACCTGCCGGGTTTCTGCCTGCAGCATCCCCTTCTCCTCCTCCTCCTCCTCCTCTCCAACGCATCGCAGGCGAAAAATAGGGAGATGCTTCCAGCGTTTCTTCCTGCGTCAGGACTGATTGCTTTGGCTTTGCACCTCAAAGTTGGAAGGGAGAAATCACAGTCACCTTACTGTATATGGAAGTGCACTAAAAGAAACCCTGGTCTTCCAAAGAGTAGTCCTATTCCCCCACCCCGTCTTAAGTTCAACAGTTAAAACGTCTTTCATCCAAGTGTCTCATTCCAGCACACAAAGTTTCCTATTCTGTTTTGTCTTTACTACAGCTCTGAAAGTTAAACAAGAGCATCTAGTTGAAGTTCACTGGTGTTTCTCAGCTGGCGATATCCCTGTCACAGATAAGATTCTGAAGCAGTCAGGTGGTGAGTCATGAAACTTAAGTCCCTAAAATTTAGTATAAATGATCAACAGAATGCTTGCAAACATATAAATGTCTTCAGAAAAAGTGGCCCTTTTGTTTCCGTTGTGATGGAATACAAGTTCTTCGACTGATTAGCGGAACTTAGATACAAAGCTTGAGAAACACTAATCTGGTGAACTTTATGACTGAGCGGGGAAATAGGCAGCACTTGTTTGACCCTTCAGGGTTCCCACTGATTTCTTTTATTTACTTATAATAAACATTACAAGCAGGCAGAGTCGCAACAATAAACATGTTAGGCCTTGATCTGGAGTGGAGGGTGAACATTGATGCCTGTGTTAGTGATAATGCAGGGGCTAGGGTATTTGAGATGCAAGAATTATGTGGTGTTTATGGTCATATGCAAATGAGATCCATCATCCCCATTCCTCAGGCTGAGATTTAATTTAGAGAGCCCCGGGAGGCAGCTAAATCCTGAAGTAATGGCAGCAGCTGAGTTTGTACCAAGAGGGCATCCCCAGGGCAAACTTAGAAGCAGTGATTTATAGACAGATTGCAGAAAACAGGTAAAGGGAGACAGATGGGGCTACTCAGGAAAAATATCACCCTCCCCTTCTCAATCATTCCTTATCAGTTAGAATGAAAAGCATGCTAGGTTTTCTTAATTAGAAGGAACACTCAAGCAATACTTTTGCACAGGTTCATCTGTGTCAAGAAACTGGATTCTACAAAGTTAAGATCCTGTTGCTTTCCAGTAGCTAAACTGAAAATGTTTAAAAGTCATCCTTGTGAATTGATGTCTGGTCATTTTCTGATATACATTTAATCTTTAATGCAACAATCAGAATCTATGAATTCACACTTCTACCATAATGTGACTTGTACGGTTTTGGTTTTGTGTGTTATGTGAATTCATCTGCCAGTAATTTGTTTACACATTGTAGTTAAAGAAACCATGATTTAATCCTTTACATGGACCTGGTCTTTTATTGGATCTGACCTCATTGCTTTCTTTCTTTCTGAACTCACAATGATACAATATAAAGCTCTGCACTGAATACCAATGTATGAATCTGATGAAATGAAATACCTGTCAGTAAAAGCTTTTACTGTAATATAAGCCTTAAAGGCACTAAAAGAGTAAATAGGCATTTCGCACATCTTCAGATGCCTATTCCAATCCTCACCTGGCACAGAAAATAGATTCTGGATCTGAACCTAAAGGGAGATGGAGAAACTTGATTAAAATTAAATCCATTACAACAGTAATGTAGGCTGAAGATTGCATTGCAAAACTGCAGTTATATTACAATAAACACATTTTGTTATTAGCCCCTAGATTTCCCCAGGGCTAGTGCATAAAATAAAATACTCACCAGATGTTTCATTGGACTAGGGATTCAGATCTTGTAGGTGGGCTGAGTCTTTCATACCTCCAGGAGAAAGAAGATGACAATAATATGAGTAGAGAATTAGTCTCTGTTGTATTAAAGATTAACTGGGGCTCAAAAACAGTTCTTTCCCCCAAAGCTTTTATACATCTTATAATCAACAGAATTCTAAAGGTTGTGGAAGACTCATCAATCATGCAGGTAAGCATGGCAGAAATAAATTCAGGACAGGGTTGTCAGGCAGATGTAGCCATTGAGCAGAACAAACAAGAGAGTTTGTAAACACAGCGGAGTTGGCTTCCCAACATGTGAACTGAAGAAGCAATGTTTAGCTGACCTTGACAGTTCTCTAAAAGCTGATTTGAGTTGGAACTGGTTAGTACTTGGGAAATGCCAGAACTTGCAGCCTAAACAGTTGAAAACACCCCCCCACACACAAAGGCAATGGCAAACTACTTCTACAAAACAAGAATGTAACCACAGTCACCAGGAGTTAAGCTCAACTCAGATTTTATACTTTTTTTTTTTTACTAATACATTCTCATCTAAAACAGGAGAGGGCAACATGTGGCCCTCCAGATGTTGATGAATTCCAGTTCCCACCAGCCCCAGTTAGCATGGGATACTTTGATTTATAGGGAGGGTACTATACCAGATTGTTAGACTCTCTCATTAAGTAACTCTATTACTACCAATTTAAATCACAGAAGGAAGCCAACTGTCACCTCTTCCTCCCTGAATGGCATATCTCCCTGTCTATTCCTTGAAGCAATCTCTTAAATGCATATGACAATGTTTCCCAGTCTAGTAGGACAGCAACATTCAGAGTCATTTGAATTTACCAGATCAAAGATAAGCCCAGCTCTTAGCAGTTTTCTGTTTCCGGAACCCTAACCATACATAAAACCAGTCTGGTAAACATCAAACAAGATCTTCCACTATCATTGATGTATAATGAGCCATGCATTTATTTAATTAAACAGGGTGCCTCTTTAGAACAAGACATTATAAATAACCTAATTATAAGATGCATATTGCAACATGTCGTCTAAGATAAATGGTAAGATGCTCATCTTATTTCTGTCCCCCTCTGTGAAACTACACAGTCATCAAAGGCTGGGTTTAATTAGACTGCACTGGCCCTCCTCGAACCTTGAAATACACTCAATCAGTGCTCCTGGTTCCCGCTGACTAAACAGCACCCATGCACAGCTCACAGTGTTTCTCTGCCTATGTAAATAAAGAAGCTACTTTCATGGATTAAAGAATCCATGCCTTAGTGCAAGGTTTCAGTTCCCACACTGTTTCTGCAATTGCTTGTCAAAAGACAGACTCATTTCTCACAAATTATACATGATAAATGAGCCTGTGCCTGTTGGAACAATTGATTTATTTCTGTCTCCTTCCTGAACAGAAATCATTTTAAGATGGAATTTTATAGGTAACCATAAAAGAATCTCCTTTCTAAAATCAATTTTAGCTGCAGATAGCTGTATAAATCAAGCAGGAAGAAGACACGTCTTTATTCTCTGTTGTGGGAGATGTGCTTTCCAGGACTGAGCCCTGACTTGTGATCAATAACCAAATAATATTTACTGTCTACTGTACAACTCCAGTTAGGATATGCTCCATGCATTGGTCTAATGCAGTGTTTCTCAACCTTGGGACTTTAAGATGTGTGGACTTCAACTCCCAGAATTCCCCAGCTAGCCATGCTGGCTGGGGAATTCTG